GACGAACAGAAGTCTGACTAACTTAGAATGACCTAAATTCCCGCCAAGTGCCGAAATAGTCCCTAAATGTCCCATGGCACCCCGCGAGCCTCTCCATCGTGCCGTCAGAATAATAATTTCTGACTAATATAATTTTGTCTCCCAATCGTCAGAAGTTACATTTTATTCACAGCGGGTAATTATTGATTACGGAACGAGAAAATATGTTTCTTATGCAAATACTTCTTTTCTGAAATATCACCAAGAATAGATAAAAATTGTCTCGTCTGTCATGCAAACACCGTATTTTAAAATGATACCCAAAATGGCTTTGTTCCAATCTCGCGCTGTTTTGTTTAATTTTAAGCTCTACATAAGGCAGGATTTTGTTACATGGCGACACCTATTTCAAACATGAGTTTGAAATTGGTTGAAAAGCGCTGGTCCTCTTCAGACATATTTCAGTCATAGCTCCGCCAAAGCTTTAATAACTTACATGAATATTTGTTGTGATTTTCGTTGTTTTCGTCAATTCCTACTAGGCTTCCTTTGTCAGGATCAAATAGAATTATTAATTTATTGATTTAACTTCGCCTAACTAAAATATTTTACTTATATACAACAAAATTCATTAGGCAGGGAGACCACTTATTAAGGAGAGACCAATTATTTTTTCAAACGGTTATGTTGTTTTGCGTCTTAGAAACAAACTCCAGTTACTTTTAGTGAGAATTCTTAGTTAATCCTAAGGTTCTGGAAGATTCTATGTTTTAATTTGGAGCCATGCATTGCTGAGCTATTGTTTGAATGTATATATAATAAACAACTTTTCCCAACACAATAGTCTTGATATTTGGTTAACTTTGTCGGAAAGCTGGCCAGAAACGTTACATTTTAGGTCTTGGTACGAAGTCCGTTTAACAAGATCCTGGGCCCACACAAAGTTGTTTCAACATAAATACATAAATGTTACTAAATGTTTCATCTTGCTAATTGACTAAAATGTCCCGTAAAATGAACGCGAAGACTTTAAGAATAGTTTCAGAAATTAATTTCAGAAATTAGAAAACATACCGTCAAATGATTGTGCCAAGATCACGAATAAAGCTTGATATTTCATGGCCCTTACCTTTTCTTGCATTTCTATATTCCTCGGAACGAAAGCACGCATCTCTGGTTGCAGAGACGCCTCTTGCCAAGAGAACCAAATACATTAAAGGCCATAGAAGTCCTTCGCAATCCATTTATCCAAAGAAAACTTTACAGTGTCAAATACAGTATGATTATCTAATGACAATCCCGAGACCAGGAAGGGACATACTCGTGCTAAGTTCAATAGCTAAAATACGCGAGATATTCTTTGATCATGATAACTTTGAAACTAAATGCTATTACAGATTTAATTTTCTCCGCCAAAGCTGGATCTCCGCTAATGAAATCATAAAAGATTAATGCATCTCCAGCAGAGTTGTGAGTTTTAAGATGAAAGATTTATTAAGACGGAACATTTTATAAATAAGACTTGAGGAATATCAATGCTTAGTCTTGAGGAATTACAATGCTTAATTCAGTTCAAAAGCTTGGCATATTAAAGACAACAAAATCCAGTGCTGGTCCGTGGTCGATACTTCGCCACACTTTTTCAATTCAGCCAGAAAGGTGAATTGTTTTCTTTATTTCTCGCCTTGACACCCTTTGGAAAGTGCCGAATTCACAGGTTAACAACAATAGCTGGCAGCTTATGTATATAACAAAAGAAGTCCACAATTGGCAAATTTGAATAGCAATACCCACTGAATGCCTGCTGGTCCCTACTGATGCGTTTTGGAAAAGGAACCGGGCACTAATTCGAGAATACGCTGTAAAGATGGGTTCTAGTTTCTTGTCCGCGCACCGTCTTCCTAGCGATTCAAGAGTTAACTGTCACTGCGATTACGTTTCCTGGTCGAGCCTAGAACATTTCTCAAGGGGTGGGGGTTGGGGGGAGGGGGAGAGGAGGAGATGTACTCTGCGAGAAGCAAGACGTCAACTTCGTCCCCAGCGCGCTTTTCCCTTCAAATGGAAGAGCGCCCTGGGAGCCAGTTTCGAAAGAAGTCTATCAAGAAAAAGGCAAGAAAGAATAGAACTCTAACTGAAAACGTTTATTCAACATTTATACCATTTAAAACTGGGTATTTAAAATGGTGATTGTATTTTTCTGTACAGTTAAATCCGGCAACAACAAATAATTAATATTAACAATGCTAAATAGATAAACTTGTTTAAAAACTTGTTATTAAAATTGAAAATTCAATTTTCTTTACAAATTGCTATTTTAAACTGTTAAGAAATTTTGGAAGCTCTTCTCCTCTGACAAGTAAAGTCTCTCCTCCAATTTTCGGGCCTTCTTTTTCCTAAAACCAAAACAGGGAACATTAGAAAGCAACTTTTACGATAGGTTTCGACGTTTTCCTTCATTAAACTTTATTCTTCAAAGAAGACATTCCATATAACAAAGTAAGTGTACTATAGTCTTCAAGGAAAAGAATCATGTTCGTATTGAGCTTCAAAATAGGGAGCTTAAGCAAACTACGACGACGACGGCAAAGAGAACGTCACCAAACAAAAAATTTCATGAGCAAAACAATGGCTGTGCACATGCGTTATAAATCTTTGTACTCTTTGTACGTCCTCTGCAAAACAAGAACACGAAATGACCAAGTTCTGCGTAGTCTGGGGAACGCGAACGACAACGGGTAATTTTTCGTATTTCCATTTGGAATTGAACGCTGTAATTGCATATTTAGCCTGAGCACGTTTTTAAAGCCATTGGCGTACTGAACAGATCTAGACAAATCGTAGAACCTCTTATTCTTCGGCCATTTCAGCTTGAGTAAAAATAGAAAACAAACTGCGGTCACAAACATGACAAAACAACGGTAGCTGCATTAGCAGCTACCGTTTTTATACTTCTGATAATGTATGTAGAAGCATACGAAACGTTAAGTTCTTAAATCAAGGTTTTTACAACATGCGTTGTTTTGTCATGTTTGTGACTGCAGTTTGTTTTCTATTTTTACTCTAGATCTAGACAACTGCGAACTTCGATGGTAAAATAGAAATTCATTTTTTTTACGAGGCATCGTCCTCGGCGTCGCCTTCGTCGTTACTTAAGCTTCAGAATGATTCTAATTTTCTTAAGGTATCCAGGCAACATGTTATGGCAAGGTCCCACTTGGAGAAGTCTTGATTGCTCGTGCATATCGATACTGTGAAACTCACTGAGAGCCTCAACAAAGATTTGCCAAAAACGGTACCTATTTCCTGAGGTAAAACAAAAAACACAAAGAAACAAGCAAAGCCAGATGAGCGTTGTAAGGTACGTTACCTTGTACATAGATGTTTTCTCATAGTTAGAAGCACCACATTGCCTGAAAAAAAAATTATAAAAACGTTTATGCAGTCATGCCCTTGAGCTCTACACAACTTGATTTAAGAAGGGTAGGATAGGGCAGGGGAGGGCAGGGGAGGGCAGGGGGGAAGAGGGAACGAGAGGGAAGTGGATTAAAGGAGTGCGTCACGGTTTGTGCATCTTAAAAAGTTTAGCCTAACTTTTTAAGTTCGTCGTTTGTAATCCGAGTTAATCTTCTCCATCGTTAACCTCACTTTACCATTTTTGTTCCTTTATGGTTTATTATTATCTCTTCGGTGTTTTTCTGTCTTAGTAAACTATTATTTTTAGATTTCCTTCAGTTTAAAGGTAATTTTCTTTGTGGCCAAAATAACTCAAAACACCATGACTGAGTTTAAGTTATCACGTACCTGCACGGGTGTTTGGGAATAGGTGCTCCATAAGTTACCGTGCGCTGTTTGCAAACTTTACAGACGAAAAACTTCTTGAGCGCTTTGCTATACTTCAGTGAGTGGTTTTCTTTGCGACACAGTTCTGAAGCACTCTCTGCTACGTAATTACACTACAACAAATACAAACGTAAGTTAATACTGCCAACTTTTCGTAGCAGCAAGAAAAAGACGACACACCGTTTTAATTTGCAAGAAACATTTCACATTAAACATTTCAATTTGGCCTCAGATTTGAAACACAAATTTTCCATACTAATTTAACCCACAGTAACATAACTTTAACTCTGAGAATTTGGTTGTAGATCAGGACAATAGGTTTCCGGGGAGCAGGGATGGCGCAGTGATGAGAGCGCTCGCCTCCCACCGGCCCTGTGCCATATGCGGGTTGAGTTTGTTTTCGGTTCTCGACTTGCCCTGAGGGTTTTCTCCGGGTTCTGAGGTTTTCCTCCCTCCACAAAAACCAAAATTTCCAAATTCCACTTCGACCAGGATAGAGGAGCTGTATGAAGACCACCTAAGGCTGATGTGGTTTCTCTCTAAATATTATGAATTATTTATTTAGTTATTTATTTTAATAACAATAATAAAGACCTCGTTACCTGTTTACAGCACACTACTTTCACTTTGATTTCTGTGATTGTTTTCATCTTATCCTCCAGCTGTTCTTTTTTCTCTAATTCGTTAAAATACTTTTCCTGGATTTCAGCTTCAGCCTAAAGACATAATTTCGTTAATATTACTTTAACGCGGAAAGCATCCCTACTGATTTATAGCTAAAACTGTGAAATATGTGTCTTTTTGTCGGCTTGGCGCCGACGACAGTGAAATTCGTGATTTTTCATTGGCACCGATGCGAGTAAAATTCGCCGATCATCCACACTAAAACGCCCGAAAACGCTGACGGAAGCGGACGTATTTGACGCTTTTTCCGGCACCGTTTTCAAAAGGCTCCACTTTTGAAACCGTTTTCGAAAGCCTCGGTTTTCATCAGCGTTTCCGGTCGTTTTCATGTGGATGATAAGTCGGGTCTTAGCTTGTTGATGTCAAGTACAAATCCGCCATTTTCCCCCCATTTATCACTGGTCAGTGACAAAATCGCGCCCTTTTCCCTCTTGTCCCCAAGAAGTGAAAAAAGCAAACCTTTTTTGATGGCTAAATATTCGTCAAACGGCTCCAAAATAGACTCTGTGGTTTACCTCTATGCATGGTTCGTTTATCAGAAACAGTTTAATAACCAAAAATGTCACATTAACACTTTAAATGGTACTCACAGCTCGAACAGCTCCGACATGTTGCGATTTTGCTGCCAGCAACTTTTTGCCTTCATCGGAACTCAGATCTATGGAACCAAATTCTGGTCCTAATATTCGTCTTCTTTTCTTTCTACAATCTTGATCTGCACTGTGTTCATCGTTTTCTACAATGTAAGAAAAGAAACAACTCGTTACATACATTTATTACTTTATCTCGTAACGTGAATCGCTCGCACACGTTTTCCTGCGCTTCGCGTCGGCTACGCGCGTTGGCTTTGAGTTTTGATTGATTCTCTGGATTGTCTGCGTTCCTTGTGATTGGCTAGAGGTCCTAGAACGATTACTTTCGCTTTGCTTTTATGACACTCAATTGAAAACCGCTCTAAGAAACCATGTTTATTCATACCTTTACCGCTGTCTTCTGTCTTCTTCATGATTTGTTCTTTTGCCTTTGGAGATAATTTCTTTCGCACGGCGTTGGGGTCCTCTTTCTCTATGGGCCCTTTCTGTCTCACAACTGACAAAGCTCTTAACTGAAGGGAAAAAAAAGAAAACTAAAGTAAATTTTTGATATACCTGTACATGTAATCAAAGCCATAATTCAAACAACTTTCTGCACGGACTCCAAAATATCAACTCTGTTAAGAATTCTCGTACATATTGATGAAATTTATTATTGAAAGAGGAAGAAACGTTTTGAATTGATAACTACGAAAAAAATGGTTTACAACTCGCACCTTAGCTCTTTCTACGTCATTTGATTTTCGTTTCTTGATATTCGGTGATTCGTCAAAGAAAAGATCGGATCCCGGGGCGAGACCACGCCCAAGCATAGGGGTGTCAGCTGCACTGTTTTGAGCTGGCGGGGCTGAAGTGCTCGCACAACGGGAATGATTACGCTTGATATCTTTCTCGTGCGCTTTCAGGAGCTCTGAAGCAGACATGGTGGGTTTTTTCTCTTCTTCCGGCTTGTCTGAAAAGAGAACGAAAGATAATTGTTGCTAACTCGTTGCAAGGAGCATTCTTAAAAAACTAACAACGTGATCGTTACTTAATATGTTAGGTGTATTCATATTTTCCCGCGTTTTGCCGTGAATGTAGACCAGGCTGCACGTTTCTCCACGGTTTCCTCTGAGGTAACATGTTTTTCTATGCTTGCTGCCCAGGCAAGCGTGTTTTGCATCGCTTACCACCAAGTACATACATTTTGCTGTGCTTGCTACAAACGTCTGCTCACAAGTTGTTGTTAAAGAGCTTTCATGCCACATACTGTTATTAATGGCTTTTCAGTCTACTTCTGTTAACTAAACTTATTTAGCTCTTATTAACCAAGCAAGAGGTCTGTATGGGAGAATCTTGACCGAGGTCGTGAGTACAGACCGAATGCAGCACTTGAGGTCTGTACACACGAGCGAGGTCAAGATTCTCCCATACAGACCGACTAAGCTCGGTTAATAAGATGTTTATTATATGGCAAACAAGAACAATTTAATTCGTTTTATGTAACTGGT